TAAATTAAGATTTTTGTTAATTAATAAAAATTATGTGAATTTTTATATTTTTTATTTTTTTATATTCTTTTTTATTTCTTTTATCTTTTTTATACTATATAATAATTATTTAATAATAATAATTTTATATTAATAAAAGTTTAAGTATCTTTATTCATTATATTATTTATTATAAAAAAAAAATTTATGGTAAAGAAGCTTTTTTCAATTGTATTTTAGAAGAGAATTACAATATATTACTTTTAATTTATTTACTTTATTCTTTACAGCAACTAATCAATGGTTTGTACCATCGACAAAAGGTGATATTCCACCTGGCTGTGCTGCATATGGTTTTGTTGTTGATGGAAGTCGTATTTTGGTCTTTGGTGGTATGGTTGAGTATGGAAAGTACTCAGATGAACTTTATGAACTTCAAGCAGTTAGATGGGAATGGAAAAAATTGAGACCCAGGCCTCCAGAAAATGATCCACCACCATGTCCAAGATTGGGACATAGTTTTACTCTTATTGGTAATAGAGTCTTTCTTTTTGGAGGATTAGCTAATGATAGTGAAGATCATAAAAATAATATACCAAGATATTTAAATGACCTATATACCCTGGAACTACTTCCTAATGGAGGAACAGTTTGGGATGTACCACAAACACATGGACATGCACCACCACCGAGAGAGTCTCATACTGGAGTATCTTATACTGATAGTAAAACAGGAAAAACCTGTTTAGTAATTTATGGTGGTATGAGTGGATGTCGTTTGGGTGATTTATGGTATCTTGATGTTGATTCAATGACATGGCATAAACCAGTGGTTCATGGACCTATTCCATTACCGCGATCTCTTCATACTGCTACTTTAATTGGTCATCGAATGTATGTTTTTGGAGGATGGGTGCCACTTGTTGTTGATGATGTTAAGGTTGCAACACATGAAAAAGAGTGGAAATGCACAAATACATTGGCTTGTTTAAATATAGGTAAATTGGAATTATATATTTTATATATATATCAAAGTAATTATATCAAAAATAAAATTAACAATATAATTTTAGAAACTTGGACATGGGAACAGTTAACTGTTGATACTTTAGAAGAAAATGTTCCTCGCGCTCGTGCTGGACACTGCGCAATTGGAATGCATAATAAACTTTATGTATGGTCTGGTCGAGATGGATATCGCAAAGCTTGGAACAATCAGGTTAGGGTTAGTCTTTATAATTTATTTTTAACTTAAAAATGCTTTTATTTCTTATACAATATGATTTATTTTTCATTTTTAGGTTTGTTGTAAAGATTTATGGTATCTCGAAGTCGGTAAACCATCTGCTCCATCCAAATTGAACTTAGTTAGGGCCAGTTTACAAGCATTGGAAATTCAATGGACACCTGTACCATCTGCACAGTACTATATATTACAAATACAGAAATGTAAACCTTCAACAACAACTGGAACGTTTCCTACAGTTAGTACTCCAGCAAGCACCGCAACACCTACCACGACATCAACAATGGTCACTCTTGCAACTGATTCTGCTACATCTTCGCCTGTCACTTCTGTTCCTGAGCTTCCACAAACTCCAACTTCGGTTAGACCGTCCGTACCTCCACAGACTCCAGTTCGAGTTCAATCAACTGTACAAAGTCCCATTCAGAAACCAGTACCATCACAAAGCGTAACAAAACCATCGAGTCCAATGACACCAAGAGTTGCCGGAAATCTTATTAGAATTCGTTCTCCTTTAGTTACAACAACGCCAACAACAACCACTGCTACTGAACAAACTCCAACTTCTAATACTACAGTGGCAGGCCAAACACCAGCTGCTATGTCAGGAATTGCCGCTTTAGCAGCAGCTGCTGCTGCTACTCCAAAAATAAGTATGAATAATGTACCAATCCTTCCACAAACTACGGCTAATACAATTAGAATGAAGAATGTTCAACCTGGTCAACAAATACGTTTTGCTGCACCTGGAGCAACAGTATTGAGAACAGCTTCACCACAACAAAGTAAACAAATTATCCTACAGAAACCAGGTCAAAATATATCTGGTCAACCACAGATTGTACATCTTCTTAAAACAGCACAGGCAATGGTAGCAACTGTGCCTAAAGTAAGTCTCATACCAGGAAAAACTGTTCAAGCAACAGGTGCAAAACCACTTAATCAGGGAGCGAAAATATTGAGATTAGTAAATCCTAACACTGTACAGGGATCCAAAATTCTCACAACTATGAAAACATCTAATATTGTTGCAATGAGTAAAGGACAAAATATTAGTGGTAAACAAACAATAATGATTACTAAACCTGGTGGTAATGGTGGATTAGTTGGTCGTAATCAAATTATAGTAGTTACAACAGGATCTAATTTAAGAACTATACAAGCTGTTACTACTTCTCAAGCTGGAGGTGGACAAACGGGTAATATTACGACACCTGTAAATGTTTTACCATTATCAGCTACTAATCATGTAACAAACCAACAAGGAGTGAAGATGATTGTTGTTTCATCTGGAGCAATGGGAGGAGGAACTACTGGAAAACCTATTACTATCACAGTTCCAGGCCAAGGAGGTGTTCCAAAAACAGTAACTATTGCAACTAAAGGAAGTCCACAAGCTATTTTTAATCCTGGAAAAAGTCAGATTGTTACTATGCCACAAATACAAAAAACACCAGAGACTGTAACAGTATCTGGTAAACCTGTGACATTACAAATGTCTGGAGGAATAGGTGCAAAAACAGTTACTCTTATGCCTACAAGTAGCACAATAGTAACAACTTCAAGTGCATCTGAAACGATAGATACAAGTAAAATGTTATTTGTTCCATCACAAAAACAACCATCAGCTTCATTAGCATCTACATCTGATGGTCCTGCTACTACTGATGCTGCATTAGCTGCATTAGCTGCAGAGGCAGGTTTAATAGATCCAGTTCAAGAACCTTCTGGTGATTTATCTTTTATGGTATCTGCAGATGATGGTGGAGCTGGAGATGGTAAAATAGAAGATAATTGTAATGGTGATGAAACTACTACAGCAGCTGCTTTAGTTTCTCAAATGGGTGCTGGTGAATCTATGCAAATTGATAGAGATGGTAACTTTTTAATTCCTCAAGTTGATGGTCCAGCAGATCTTCTTCTGTCTGATGATGATGAAGACAATGATAAAATTGATTTAGCTGAAGATCCCACATTAGAAAATCAAGAAGAGTCGCAAGTTGCAGATTCTGCAAATATGGAGCAACATACAGATACAGCATCAACAGAAGCTGTTCATATGGAAGAATCCATAAAAGATCCAGATACTTTGTCAGAAGGAGCATCTGAACTTCCTGTTTCCACAAGTGTTCCAGAAGATATTCCAATAGATCCAGAACCTTCTATTGATACTCAACCAGATGAAAATGAAATACCTATTGAAGTTGTTAATGATTCAGAACCAGCAAATGAAAGTGACATGCAAGAAATGAATAATGTATCAACTGAAGAGGCACAAATAAAAGCTGAAATTTCTAATATGCAAGATCCAATAGAAGCTTCAGAGGAAGCATCTATGCCAGATGCTATGGAACTTCCAGAAACCGAAGAAAATGAACAGATTGAAAATAATGATATAAAATTAATGGCAGTAGATACATATACTTCTGAATCTGAAAAACAAGTAGCTTCTGAACATTTGTCACCTGAAGATAGTTTATCACAATTTTCTCAAGAAGATAATCAAGTTATAGAAAAAATTAAAGATGAAGCTGTGGAACCACCGATGGATCTTCCTGAGGGAACCCCAATGGAAACATTAGAGGATAATGATGAACCAATGGTTACAGATTCTTGTTCAACTCCTACTAATATTCCCATTACAACATCTATCATGCAAATAAAGTTAGAACAAGCCGATGAATCAATGAAACAAGATAAAATATCAGAAATCCCACCAACATCATCTATTAGTAGTATTACATTTCTTGAAAAGGAAATGGATATTCAAAAACCAATAACCACAGTAAAAATGGAAATAAAAGAAGAATCTATTAAAAAAGAAAGTCTGAAACAAGAACAAATGAATGGCACAAGAACGGAAAATGGAGATGATTCCACAGCATTAACTACATTAGCTACAGCTGCCTTAGGTTCGGCAGAACAATCAATGAAAATGAAGCCTGAACAGGTAAAACATTATATTTTACATTAAAATGATATATATACTTAATATTTATTTGTAATATAAGAATATTTCAACTCTTGTACAGACTGAAAAAGAAAAAAAAGAAGAAGAATGGTATGATGTAGGAGTAACACAAGAATCGAGATTTACTGTACAACATTATTATTTACCAGGTGATGATCCTTTAGATATAACACAACCATTAACTATGGATGTTTTTGAAGGTAGAACTAAAGTTCCTTTAGAACAGGGAACTATTTATAAACTTAGAATTGCTGCTGTGAATAGTTGTGGACAAAGTGATTGGAGTGAGGTAAATAGAATAATTGCCAATATGAATATTAATATAATTTATTTTATTATTTAATTTCATATAACATTTTTTTTATTTATTTTAAGGTATCAGCATTCAGAACATATGTTCCGGGATTTCCCGGAGCACCTAGCGCTATAAAAATTAGTAAAACGGCAGATGGTGCTCATATTTCATGGGAACCACCACCTAACAGAAATGATGGACCCATTTTGGAATATTCTGCCTATATAGCAATGGCAAATACTGCATCTAATAATAATGGAGAACCAAAGACAACATCATCGAATTCGAATTTAACATTCACAAAATTTTATTGTGGTACAAATAATTCGTGTTCGGTGTCTAATAGTTCCCTTAGTGCTGCTTATGTTGATACAACTCGAACACCAGCCATAATATTTAGAATAGCAGCACGAAATGTTAAAGGATACGGACCAGCAACGCAAGTTAGGTGGTTGCAACAAGGTTAGTTGTGCATTTTATTTTAATTTTTTATAAAAAAAAAAATAAATAATTTCTAAATAATGATTTTTAAAAATTTTAAAATATAATTTTTTATTATATCATCATTAGCATCAGTATCGTCATCAGATCCAACTAATTTTATGGAGAATAATCCTCAAGTGAAGAGACGTGGTGTAAATATACGTTTACAAGCAAGCTCCCCACAGAAGAAGGTGAAACTAAAGAGACCAAGTAGCTAACTTTTTGTGAGCCGGTTCTTTTTGACCTCTTACAGCCCAAATATTCAAACAGCGCTATTCATTATTTAATTTCCGCTGATACACACGCCTAACAACGACAATGAAACAGTATATTCTTCGAATAAACAACGTGACATGCGAGTAAATGAATGCACGATATAGAGTGATGGAGAAGATGTCCATAACTACATTGAGGTATAACATAAGAGTTAAAAAAAGTATTTTAAGTGTTCTATATATGAATACAAGGTCTTTCTATACTGCGTTTTCTGACTCACCGTTATTCTCCTATTCCTTCGTGAATATGCGACATTCTTCTGTAAAAATAATATGAGTACTATTAATAAATGGCAAGGTGGTTACTTTGAAATTAAACAAGTTTTTCCATGTTTATAAATGATTCGAAATTCATAATATACCGATGATAGTTAGATCAACACTTGCATCACTTTTCATGGTATACATATGATTTCATTTAAATATTAACCACCTTCATTTTTTATTTTTTTATTAGATAAATTTAATATATGTAACTACAAATTGTAATAAAACAGAAATGAAATAGTCATTTGATTTATACGGAAGCTTTGATTTTAACAAATGCTTTGTTTGAATTTATTTTAAATTATTCGTATTTGAAAGTCTTTTATTATTACAAAGATATATTTGCGTATAAATCTTCTAATATAAATAGAACAGAAGTATGGGAAACTTCTTATTACATTTAAATATTTATTGTAAATATTGTAATTGGAAATGTTTTCTTTTAATTTTCTTTTAATTTTAAATTTATAATTGTCTTTATTGAATTTTTTTTCGAAATTTTGCAATGCGATGCAAGTGTAACAAAAACTTTGTTATCATCTTTTTCTGTATAAAATATCGGTGCTACATTTTATTCTCGTTACTTTTGTTACTGCCAATCGCAAAAAAAAAAAAAAAAAAAA